CCACTCACACAGACCCACGCATGCACTCACAAACACTCAAACTCATGCATACACACTCAAACACACACACACAAACCCATGCATACACTCAGACAACCTCACACATACACACTCACAAACTCACACATACACACACAAATTCACAAACACACTCAAACCCTTACACAAGCTCAGTCACATATTCACATACTCACAAACTCACACTCACACATACACTCACACATACACACACAAACTCATACACTCACAAATTCACATAGACACTCACACACCCTCACACATACACTCACACCCTCACATAAACTCGCATATACAGTCACTTACACACCCACACATACACTCACTCATACACCCTCAAACACACACTCACACAAACTCACACATACACTCACATAGACATCCACAAACTCTCTCTCTCTCTCTCTCTCTCTCTCACACACACACACACACACACACACACACACACACACACACTCTCTCTTCTGGAAGTCTGCACCTGCGCGTGTTGTTTTGGGACACACGGGCCGTGCGTGGGGCCCACTCCTGCCCCCTCTCGAGCACGGGGGACAGAGCCTGGGTCACCGTGCGGCCAACGGTGCCTTCCCTCGGGCCGTGCTGTGGTTTCTCTCTGAGCTACACAGCAGCTTTCCGGACAAAGGCGGACGAACAGACAGAAAGGCGGACGAACAGACAGAAAGGCGGACGAACAGACAGAAAGGCGGACGAACAGACAGAAAGGCGGACGAACAGACAGCGGTCGTACAGAAGCACAAACCAGCCCGTGACCCGGTGAGCACCGCGGCCCCGTGAGCAGCCTGCTCCTCCCCGGTCTCACGGCGTTCCCCGCGAGTCCTGCCGCCCTGTCCAGTGCTGGACTCCGATGGCCCACCCAGGGGAGGAGCGGGATTCCCGGGGCATGGCCTGGCCCAGCTGGTCACCTCTGCCCCCAGGTGGGCGCCACGGATGTGCTTCCGGCTACCCCCCTGTGTGCGTCCTTGCCCCTCTACTGCCTGGACGGGCCCTTCCGTGTTCTTTGTGTTTGGACTCTGGACATTTACTTCTGCGTGGATCTCTATCCGCCAGACGACACATCCCTTGTCGCCCCGTGGTGTCCGCCCTGTCTGACCCTGGTGCTGGCAGCCTGAGTCGGCGAGACTGGGCCCTCTCTGCCCGGAGCTGTGGGAGCTGCCGCATCAGCCTGGCTCCAGGCACGGCACTCTCGGCCAGGGTCCCGCCCACAGCAGCAACCCGTCACTCCCGGACCGGGCTACTGGGCCTCTCTTCTCATCTGGCGGAAAGTCACTCATTCGTCACCTCGGTGGGCTTTGTCGGCCTTTCACCTTTGTTTTATTAATTTGCTTTCGTCACTTTGCTTGGGGGATGGTTCGCTGTCCACCTTCCCACAGCGAAGGCCCGGTGGGCATCTGTTTCCCTTATCCAAAGGGCTCAGAGCGACAGGCATCCCCTCAGTAACTGCATTATTCTAGTCGGTCCTCAACCTCGACAGGAATTCCACCAGTGAGTATTTTGCCGGGGCCCAAGAGGCAGAACGGGAGACGGGCTAGATCCCTGCGTGACAGCCAGGACGAAGCCCGAGCACGGCTGGATGTGGCCCCAAACACAAACGGAGCAAAGCAAAACGCAGTTTCCACAGACCTTTCCCACGTTCCCTTTGCTGTTTCTGCAGGCTGGGACGGCTCACAGCTGCAGTGCTCACAGCATGGCTCAACCCCAGGGCGCGGAGTCAAGGGCCAAGCTCCGAGCACGGACAGGACCTGAAAGGCCTCTTCCGCCCAGCGACCCACGGGGCCTAGGAAGGTTTTATCGGCCTTCACGTTTTTTAAAGAATCATTTTTTAAGGGTTGGAGTGATAGCACAGGAGGGAGGGCGTTGGCCTTGCACGTAGCCGATCTGGGTTCGATTCCCAGCATCCCGTATGGTCCCCCAAGCACTGCCAGGAGTAATCCCTGAGTGTAAAGCCAGGAGTAACCCCTGTGCATCGCCGGGTGTGACTCAGAAAGCAAATAAATAAATCTTTTTTTTAATCGCTCAGGTATGTGAAAACAGTTACTAAGACCGCAAATGTGTCAATTTTTCCCTATGGACTTTTCAACTCTTGCTTTGTATTTTTGTTTTTTTGGGCCACGCCGGGCGGTGCTCAGGGCTTCCTCCTGGCTCTGCTACTCAGGGATCATTCCTGGTGGGCTCAGGGGACCGGATGAGGTGCCAGGGCTTGGACCCCGATCGGTCGCATGCAAGCAAACACCTTACCTGCTTCGTATTTTGAAAGCCATTTCACCGAAGTCAAGGGCTTAAATGAGATAGCCCTGCGTGTGTGGCACCGCCAATGCCCCGACGTGGCCGTCTTATTGATGGGGGTGGCTTCCCGCAGAGGTGCTGGCAGGCACTGAGGGAGGGGGCCCGGCATGAGCCCAGGGATGGGACTTGGGGTCCTCTAAGCCGCCCTGGGCCCTGGGGTCATTTCCATCTTTTGCCTCAGTATTTCTATGATTCTCCGTGAGCTTTCTTCAAAAATCACCAAGCGAGAGGATGAGAACTTGAGATGCCGGCCCAGGGTTGTGCGGAGTTGACCCGAGGACATGGGTGCGCCTCTCACCTGCGGCCGGCCGTCCGTCCCACCGCACCTGCCCCGGGTCACAGTTTCCTTCTTCGTTCGACAGACTCGACTGAGGCCCACCTGTCTCCTCGCACTGGCCCTTCCTTGCTCTCCTTCAGAAACACAAGCCCCACACGGGCCCAGCGTCAGCGATTTCGCCGACTCGTGGTTCCTCCCACCAACGAGACATTCTCACTCCTCTTCCCCCGTGAGCGTCCCTTTGTGCCCCCGAGAGCTCACTGCTCTCCCCGCTTCCTGGGTCCCACTCTCTGGCACCCTCTCCTCCGTGCACCCCGACAGCTGCTGGCCCCCCAGTGCCTCAAGATGTTCCTGTCCCTCACCCTCACAGACACGGCAGCGCCGTCTGCAGCCAACCGCGGGAAGACACGAAAGTTCAACTGCACAAAGGGGCCCCCTGGTCTCGTCTTCCACCTGGGAAACAGGATAAATACCCCAGGCCTCGTCACTCTGACTCTAGACCCCTGGGGTTCCCCACCGCATCTGCACCGAGTGGGTGTTGTCCAGGGTCGCTGCCCGCAGTGCTCGGGGCTGCCTGGCTCTGCACTCAGGCCACCCAGGGGAGCGGTGGGGTGCTGGGGCTCAACCCGGGCTGACACCGGCAGCGCCTTTCCCCTGGACTCTTCCGCCAAGCCTGTGTGTTCCGACTTCCGTAGCATCAGCTGCTGTCGCTGGCACAGCCCGGTCTGTGGCCCTCCAGAGGCCAGCACTCTGCCTTGTGCCGTCACTTGTACTTAGAGAATTCTTTATTAACTTCTTGACTCTTCCCAACATGTCCGATAACAAATCTCTTTATGATAATCAAGACTCTGCTCTGATACATTAATATATAATTGGTAGTTTAAGTTAATAAAAAAGTTCATTATTTTTTAATCATGTTCCTGAAGAATAAGTTATAAATCTGTAACAGCCCATTAAATTAACACTTCGTTCACGCACAAGAAGTGGAACATCCTATTATATTCACGGTTAAAAATTCTGTTAAGAGTTTCTAAGTTTGTCTTACCCACATTATGGTGCACACACATGCGCGCACATGCACGTGCGCACACACACACACGCACACACACACGCACACACACACACTTCGCCAGACTGAGCAGAGCCTGCTAGAAAAGGGAACTGTCGAACCTTTTTAATTGGGATCATATTAATCGACACCACCGTGCTTGCCGTGGACGGAATCTCTCGTCTCCCCAGTGCGGCTGTTACTGCACCACCCACCACTAAGTGCCCGCCTGTGCCCCCCCCAGGTCTGTGTGACGGAGGAGAAGCACCAAGGACCGCTGACGAGAGGCTCGGGCTCTGGGAAGCGAGTGCCCCGCGGATGGACGTGGGTCAAGGAGCGACCCCAGGACTCGGCCAAGAGCGCCAGGGCGGGGGTCAGCGGCAGAGCACTGCCAAGCAGCGGGCGGTGCGTGGGGACACGGGAGACACGGGGGACGCAGAGGAAGACAGGGATGAAGGGGATGCAGGGAGCGGGGGGCACGGCGAGGCTCATGCCCTCGGACTGGCCCGCCCGTGGTCCTGGCCCCACAGTGGGGCAGAGCAGGCAGTCGGGGCGCGGCCTGAGAGCTGCTGGGGGGGGAGGCGAACGGGAGTGGGCCCACCCCCGCGGCACTCAGGGCTTGCTCCCGGTCTGTGCTCCGCCACACACAGGATGATGAGGCTGAAACCCGGGTCCCCGGGTGGGCCACGAGCCTCTTTTTGAGGGGCACAGGAGAGGTACTCCCAGCTCAGTGATCCTGCTGCTGTTCGGGCCGCTCTATGTATGAGGCTGGGCCTGAGGGCATTTCCGGGGGCCTGTGGACCTGCCCCACGACATTAGTGTCCACTAGACAAGGCTGCTGGTCCTCGGCCCGGGGCCCCTACAGGGGCTGGCACCGCTCAGCTTTCCGGCATTTCAGGACCGAAAACCTCGGGGGACGTCCAGGGCCCTCCGTGGGGCATCTCATCTCCGATTTCAAGGACGCAGAGGGGCCCGAGCGCAGTCCAGGGAGGAGCTGATCGGGGCCTGAGCCCCAGCGCCGGGCAGGAGCGAGGCCTGGCACCGCCGGGCATGACCCAAAGCAACACAGAAACCACCACGACGCAGCATCTGCACGGGACTGGGCCGGGCGGCCACCTGTGTGGGACCCTGGGCTCCAGCCCGACATGGTGCCCACAGGGCCAAGTGCACAACTTTCTGGAATGTTCCGCGTGGGAGGCGGATGTCCCCTTTCAGAAACATTTTCCAGTGCCCGCTCCCCAGAGCACGCACCCAACCGGGCCGAGCGGCAGCGGAGGCCACCGGGTGTAAGCGGCCCAGGGTCCGCCTGCACTGACCACCAGCCTGCAGTGCCCAGGCGCCCCGCCTGGCCTGGCCTCATGAGCCCTGGGCGCAGAACTCCAGCCCGCCGTCGCCCACGGTGAAAGAGAGTCTCCGGGAAGAGTTGCTTCTCAGGTGCCGCACCAGCACGGAGAACCGCGGGCCGCCCGCGGCGTCATCCTGCCGGGAGAGGAGCAGCCGGTGCGTCACGGCCCGCCGCCAGGCCTGGCCCAGGGAGGGCGCGCGGTCGGGGTCCCCCTGCAGGAGACTCTGCGTGGTGACGAAGAGCTGCAGGCGGTGGGCGGCGGCCAGGCGCTGCAGCAGCTGCACGCAGCGGCCCAGCGGGGCCTCCTGCCGGCGGGCACTCTCGCCGCCCTGGGCGCGGTCCTGCCAGTAGAAGGCCGAGAGGCCATCCAGGGCCAGCAGGCCGAGCGCGGGCCGGCGGCACAGCAGGGCGGGCAGCGCATGCAGCGTGAGCAGGAGCTGGGCGCTGCTGGCGCACGGCAGCACCCACAGGCGGCCCAGGCAGCCCCGCACCAGCGCCTCGGCGCCCGCGGGCAGCGCGCGCTCCAGCACGGCCACCAGCCGCAGCAGGTCGAAGTGGCCGTCCGTGTCCAGGAACAGCGCCTCGGCGCCCAGGCCGCCGGCCGACGGCGGCAGCAGGCAGCGCACCGTGACGCGGTACAGCAGCTCCGTCTTCCCCGCGCCCTCCGGGCCGTGCAGCTCAACAATGCCACCTGCGGAGAGTCGGGGCGTCAGGGGGCGCTCGGCTTTGGGGGTCGGGGTCGGGGCAGCGCTCGGGAACCGTACGGGGCGTCGGGGAGGGAACCTGTGCCCCCCGCCCCCCGCTGCCCTCCCGCTCCAGCCCTGGGTAGGGGTTTTCTTTATGGGCAGGAGAGAAAGCCCACGGCTGTCCAACACGCGCGAGGGACCCGGTGACGGGCCAGGCGGCACCGGCCCCCGCTGACTCTCTCAGAAGATTCCCGGCTCCAAGGACTCTCAGGGGAAGCGCCGGCTCTCGGGGGACGGCACGGGGAGCACTGTGACCGGCCAGCGGCAGTGGAGGGCGCGCCGCCCCGCTCTCCTGACAAGCAGCTTTGGCCCTTGTCACGCCTGTGTCAGACAGCAGACGCCCGGGCCCATGACCGCACGTGTGTTCTGTCACTCGACTGTATTCCCATCACGGGCCGTGAGAGCCGCGGGCACCTGGAACAGAGCCCGGTCAGGGTAGGGTCTGGCGGGGAGATGGCCGGGGATCCGCTGGTCTTCAGGGGTCGTCACGGACTCGGGGGGATGGGAAAGCCCAGGCAGTGATTTCAAGGGTCTCACTCAGATGGCTGGAGAGATAGGACAGTGGGCAGGTGGCCACAGCTGCATGCGGCCGACCTGGATTCAGTCCCTGGCACTGCACAGGGCGCCCGTCCAGGCCGGAGTGACCGCTAGGCATGGTCCTAAAACTGAAGACAAGAGGAAGGCGGGGCATGGGGGGGGGACAACGACACACAGGTCACAGCACAGAAATGCCCACGGTCGTGATGGGTGACGGGGACGCCAGGCCAAGAGGCGCCACGGGGCAATCAGGAGTGACCGGCAGAGAAACCTGTGCTGGGGTGAGGAGGGAGCGGGGGGGGGGGGCAGCAGACAGCCCCGACGCCCTCCGGAGGACCAGAGGGAAGCCAGCGCGGAGAGCGCACACACAGGCCCACCCGGAGGGCAGCACGGAGGGCCACACTAGCAGACCAGTCCCCCTGGAGGGAGGGGTGGGGCAGGCCAGAGTGGATGGACTGAGGTTCTCAGGCAGCAGGGGGTCGGGAGTGGGGAGGGGGGAGGAACTGTGAGGTGGCCGTTCCCCGGGGGTCAGAGGAGCTTCCCCCACCCCACGGGGACTGAGTCAGAGAACAGGATCGCACCCTGGGGGAGGGAGGCAGGGCCCCAGGGCACACAGGGACACTGACACCAGACTCCGGGGGACTGGGGGCATCTCTGGGTAGTTCTAGAATTCTCTGCTTAGGGGAAAAACAAGAACTTGGCTGCAGTATTTTCCTCGAGGGGTTGGTCACGAACCCCGGCCGACCGGACTCCCAGGGGTCAGGAGGCCCCGCGAGTGCCTTCCCGCAGCTGTCAGGCCCCTGAGTCTGCGTACACCCAGGACCTCCTGCGGCTGGAAACCGGTTCTGGACACGCCTCAGGGCACGGAAACGGATCAAGGGGGCCAGTGAGGGGCCAGAGAGGAAGTAGGATGGGCAGGGCACTTGCCTGGCTAACACGGGCTAAGGCGCCTGCCGTGCACTTGGCTGACCTGGTTTGACCGTGACACTGCAGAGCACAGAGCCAGGGGCACAGGGCTGATCCCTGAGCACGGCTGGGTGTGACCCAGAATTTTAAAAATTAAAAAAAAAAAAACCACTGAATCACTTGAATCACCGTGAGATACACAGAGCTGTTCACGATCGGGTTTCAGTCCTCAGTGTTCCGACACCCGTCCCCTCACCAGTGCGCATCTGTCCCACGAATGCTCCCAGGATTTCTCTTTCCCAAGGAAGAGGTTATTAGGCAGCTAAAAAACCTATCTCCTCCGAGGGCCAGACAATAGCACAGCAGGTAGGGCACTGGCCTGGGTTCAATCCCTGGCACCCCATAATGTCCCCGAGCACCCCCCCACACCTATTCTACAGAGTAAGAGCAAACGGCCTTTCAAAACAGCCAGGAAATCGGGGAGTCTGCAAACTTGTAAACTGCACCTGAACACGAAGCCCTTGAACTCAGTTCCCTACAAACACGCCTGAGGACACGCCCAAGTCTTCCTGATCAGTGACTGTCCCCTCAGAAGATGGATGGTCACGTCTGAATACGCCCTGGGCGGGGCCACGGAGCGTTCTAACGGGATCCGAAGCCACCGTCCCCTGCTCCCACGAGCTGCCATAGAAATCCACAGTGCGGGGCTGGAGCAGGAGCCCGGCAGGGAGGGCACCGGCCGCACACACCGCTGACCTCGGTCTGTCCGCTGAGTGCTGCCAGGTGTGGCCCCAAACCAGCCATCGTCCTCGTCACCCTCATCCTCTTCACCATCATCATCTTCACCTTCACCACCACCCTCATCACCATCCTCCTCATCCTCATCACCACCATCCCACACTTGTCCAGCCAAGCACCGACCATGAGAACTGGTAGCGGGAACAAAGCCAGAATCAGCGAGCTGACTACGGAACTTCACAGCTTAAACAGGAACCTGACGACCTGGCCCAAGGTCTCCCAGCAGAAACGCCTGAGGCCCCGTGACAGGCGGCTGCAGTGAGACCTGGGAAAGCCAGAACCTGCCAACTTGGTAGGTGTCTCCCTGGGAAGAGGCTCCGAGCACTGTCCCTGGAGCAGGCCCGAGGCTCCACTCCCCACGGGGCCACTCTCAGGGCACAGGGGACGCCCCAGTTCTTCCTGTTGGGACTGTCCTGAGTCCGTGCCAGTCTGACGGCGAGACGTGGACGTGCTGGCCCCCGTGCGCCTGACTCCATGCTGCCCAGGGTGTGGACATGGCGGGGCCAGGGGCCGGCATGGGACTCAGCCAGCCCGTGTGTGAGGAAGACACGGCTCTTAAGTGTGTCTACAGGAATCCCATGTTTTACGGGTCCGGCTGACAGCAGGAGAGGACAGAGGACGTGGGCTGGCCAGCACGGGCCACTCTGCAGCTCGATGGCACCTGTCATAACTCCCGAGAGCTGCTGGGGACGGCCCCGGGGCAGCTGCTGAGGGACGGGCGTCCACCTGCCCTAGGAAAACACTCAAAACCCAAAAAACCAACAACAATACAGGGTCAGAGAGAACAGACAGGACTGCAGGACGCCCTGTCACAGCCAGGCGGAGAGGGGCGGAGGCCGGCACGGTTCGGAAGCACAGGGCCGCTCCTGAGCCTGGACCCCCCAGTCCCAACAGGGCTCTGGGTTCTGCTGCGGCTGGACACAGTGCCCGGTCCCTCCCCAACCGTCTGTCCCAGCCTGACGGCGCATCCCAGTGTCGGTGCAGAGCCAGCACACCCGCATGGTCCAAACAAGGCTCGGGTCCGGCTTCCCGCAGAAGGGAAGCTCGGGGGCCCTTCACACACAGCACCTGCTCAAGGTGCTGGCCACGGGCCTCGGACCGTCGGGGTGGACAGTCTCGAGCGGTCCCCGCGCGGCTCCTCTAGGGCATTCTCCACGTCCCCACAGAAGCTCACAGGCACTCTTGGTTTGGTGGGGGGGTCCTGTTGCTCTCCAGCTCGGGCCCGAGTCCTGAGTGCCATGGGGTGGGCACCACACAACGATGAGAGGGCACAGAGACTCACCGAGCCCAATAACACGAGCAGAGACTGACACCTCAGGGGAGAGGCGGTCACAGTGGGGAGCTCTGATGACGACGGGCAGAACAAGCAGACAGACGTGAGGTCACGGGGACGTGAGACACCGAACCAACGGGGACGAAGGTCGGGTCAGCAGGCTGGACAGTCTCTGGGGCCCACGCGGTGCCTGCCGAAGGCAGCCGACACCAGCCCCATCACAGAACAAGTCTCAGAACGCGAGTCTCCAAGACCAGCATCACGGAAGCACAGTCTCTGGCCAGACGACCCTGGAGCAGACGCCAGCAACAGCCACGGGAAGCCCTTCGCTCGGACAAGGGGAGACTTCGAGGAGGGAGACCGAAAGCATGAGGAGCACAGCGGGTAGGGCTTTGGCCTTGCAAGGCGACTGACCCGGGTTCGATTCCCAGCGCCCCACAGGGTCCCCTGAGCACTGCCAGGAGTAATTCCTGAGTGCAGAGCCAGGTACAACCCCTGAGCATCACCGGGTGGGACCCAAAAAGCCAAACAAACAAACAGACAAATAAATAAAACAAAAGCATGAGGAGGAAAGGGGGGGGGGAGCTAAGTTGGACTTCACTGAAGTTAGTAATTTGGGCTCCAGAGTGACAGGGCAGTGGGCAGGCACCGGCCCGGCCCAGGGCCCACCTGGGTTCCATCCCGCCATCCCACACGGTCCCTGAGCACCGCCAGCGGGATTCCTGAGCACAGAGCCAGGAGTGACCCTGAGCATCGCCGGGTCTGGCCTCCAAAAGAAACAATAATTTTCCATTTTTATGAACACCTCCAAGACGGGGGAAAGCACCCACAGGCTGGAGGTATCGGCCCAGCGTCAGGACTGACCCCAGAGAGGCTGGAGACCCTCGGCTGACCCAGCCCCAGAGCCCCTGGGGCACAGGCGCCCATGCGGCCGCGCAGCACCATGAGCCTCAGAGGAAACTCAGAGGAAACCACCAGGCAGCCCAGCCTCCTCAGCCGCGGCGTCAGCACCAGGGAGGGCACACAGCGGGTGGGCTGGTGGCGGAATACGGAATCCCTGGAACAACTGCATTGTGAACAACTCTGTAAATCACGGTGCTTAAACAGGCTAAAAAAAGAAAGAATATATTGTATCACTGTCACTGTCTCACTGTCCTCCCATTATTCATTGATTTGCTCTTTCGGGGCCCAGTAACGTCTCCATCGTGAGACTTGTTGTTACTGTGTCTGGCATATCGAATACGTCACAGGGAGCTTGCCAGGCTCTGCCGTGCAGGCGAGATACTCTCGGTGGCTTGCCAGGCTCTCCGAGAGGGGCGGAGGAATCGAACTCGGGTCGGCCATGTTGGCTGCGTGCAAGGCAAACGCCCTACCGCTGTGCTATCGCTCCAGCCTGAAATATACTGACAAAACATCTATATCCGACAACGGGACTTACACCCAAATCTGTGACGACTCTAACCATGCGGTGAGACAGCTTCAACCGGGGGCTTCTTTGCTTTGTTTTGTAGGCGGCCTCAGCAGTGCTCCCGAAAGCAGGGGCTGTTGGGACCCGACCCCGGGCCCTGTGCACGCCAGGCAGGGCCTCCAGCCCTTGGGGTTCTCTCTCCAGCCAAACCAAGTTTTTAATCTTACTTCTGTTCTGTTTTTGAGTCACACCTGGCGACGTCCAGGGGACCACATGGGTGCTGGGGATCGAACCCATCGGCTGCCCTCTCCAGCCCCTTCCTTCCTGCTTCAGTTCTTTCTGGGGCCGCGCCAGGCTGTGCTCTCAGCCCTCTGGCTGCGTTCCACAGAGCTGGCGTTTCTCACCACGAGTGAGACGTGCGACATCATCCATCCCCAGGGAGCCGTGGAGCAGAACCATCCCGACAGCCCCCGATTAGGGGGGCTGTGATAGAACCGGGCCAGCGTGACGGCAGGACGGGGATCAGAACCTCCACCACGTCCCTGCTGATGCCAGGAAACGGCATCAGCCCCTCAGCACTGCCTGGCACGCCTCAGAGGGTTCAGTCAGCACCGAAAGTGCCGCCGTCGCCTGGCCAGAGGGACAGTGCAGCCACGCTGGGCTCAATCCCGGCACCAGGAGCCCCGCCAGGAGGGATCCCTGAGCACAGAGTCAAGAGCAAGTCCTGAGCACTGCCAGGTGCAAACAGAAACCAACTAACAAACCCCCCCAAAACAAAACCCAAAGTGCCCCTCTCTCAGGTGTCACTTGCCAGAACAGAAAACAAATTTCCGGCGAAATCTGCGCATGAACAATCGCGGGGGCACCTGCCACCCACAACCAGCAGCAACCCAGAGCTCCAGCAGCGGATGAACCAGCAGTGGGACCCGGGACAGGATGTTTGGCGGGTACCAGCAGGGGACGCGACGGCCACAGAGCAAACAGAGCCTGACCCGGGGCGGGCCGGGGGTCTCGCCACAGAGCAGACCTGCGTTCTCGGAGGGCTGGGAGACACGGGGGGCGGGGCGTGGCGACCGTGATTTCTCTGGGGCTGATGAAGCCGCCCCGGGCCAGCTGTGCACCGTGTGAGCACCGGAAGTCTCTGCAGGGCGGGGCGACTCCCGGGGCGGGAGTCAGGGAGTGAGTGCCGACAGACTCGTGGGGATCGCTGCTTCCCCAGACGTGTGAGCGGGCAGGGCTCCGGGGCTTCCTGTCCCCCCTTCCAGAGAGACGGGAACCAGAGCCGAGCAGAGGGAGCACAGGCCCAGGCCTTTCCCCATGGCTTCCGTGAGTGACATGGGGCCACTCCTGAGCACCGTCGGGTGACTCCTGAGCACTGTGTTTACTCCGGAGCACAGAGCCAGGAATGGGCTCCAAGAACCACCGGGTGTGGCCCAAACTCCCCCGCAGGGCTTAAGGGAGAGAAGACCCCCCCCCCCCCCGTCGCTGTGTGTTCTGGAGCTGCACCCCCAGAGAAGCAAACCTGTAACTGGGACCCAAGCGGTAGTACAGCGGGAGGACGCCTGCCCTGCACATGGCTGACCCGGGTTCGATCCCTGGGATCCCGTAGGGTCCCCGGGCCCCACCAGGAGGGACCTGCACCTGCACCTCCTGAGTGCAGAGGCAAGAGGCAGCCCTGAGCACCACCAGGTGCGGCCTACAGGCGAGTTAAAAGACACAAACTCTTGACCTGGCCGACACACGGGGAAGACGGGGGAGACCGAGTCGGCTGCTCCCGCTTCAAACCCCCCGATGCGCAGGGCGGCTCCGGCTCGGGGCCAGGCCGCGCCTTACCGTGATCGGGCGAGTCTTCGGCAGCAAACAGAGTCGGCTCAATCTCCTTCAGGGAACTTCGGCCTTCAAGGCGGGCCAGGAGCTGGGCAAGAAAACACAGGCCACCCATCACCCGCGAGTGTCGGGCCCTGGAGGCCACATTCGCGAACACCCGCGAGTCTGAGGATTAGAAGTCATGACGCAGGGACGCCGCGCGGGATGAGGCTTCCTCCCGAAGGGAGCTGCCGCGCGTCCTTCCTGCCGGAGCATCCAGTGGCAGGGCAGAGGCCTGGCACCGTCCGGACGCTGGGCACAGTCCAGTAAGCCCTGGTGGCCCCCAGCAGTGCGGGCTAAGGGAGCACCCCTGGGTGTGTCCGCGCCACAAACTCTGACTCAGCTGCAGCCCCAGGGCAGGAGCCACGGGCCAGCGGGGAGGGCCACGCCTTGCAGGAGGCCAAACTGGAGCCCCGAGCGCCGCCAGGCCCGAGTCCTGAGCGCAGACCCGGGAGCAACCCCTGAGCACCCTGGATGTGGCCCCCAAACCAAAACGTTTAAGAAAGTAAATAAATTGTAGCAGGGGAGGACAAGAAACCATGCAAAGTTTAGTGTTTTTAGGTGATGGGGTGGGGGTGGGGGGTGTTGGGTTTTGGGACCATGGCCCGGGCCATGCTGGGGATTGAACCCAGGTCGGCTGCATGCAGGGCGAGTGAACGTGGCATTTTAAAATAAGTAATGAAGCGTCTAAACACTCGTGAGAACTGCTTAACTCAGAGACTCTGTATTTTCAGACGACTAATATACGATGCTAAACTATGCCTGGGTAAAAGACAGACAGTGTGGCAGAGTTCATGGGGAAAAAGAAACTTCTGTGCAGTGGTTGCACCTGATAACACCACAGGTATCCCCCTACACACACACACACACACACACACACACACACACACACACAGCAGGCACGGAGCTACATGAGTCTGGCCCCTGCTGGCAAAAACGGTCTATTCAGGGCCAGAACAATAGCACAGCAGATAAGGCACCTGCCTTGCACGCGGCCAACCTGGGTTTGATCCCTGAGCATCGCTAGGAGTGATTCCTGAGCACAGAGCTAGAAGTAAGCCCTGAGCACTGGTTGTGCTCCTAGGTGTGGCCAAAAACAAAAAGAATTTTATATTCAACACTGCCAATGAGTTTTAGATAAACTACTAGTTATCAAATTGTGGCGTAGTATCGAAGAATTACTGAACTGGAATAAAATTCACAGTTACCACGAAAGGTCTTGAACTCCCCTTCCCCGAGGGCCACGGAGGGCTCAGAGGCTGGAGCGCGGGCTCTGTCCCACGGGCCCCCCGGGTGTGCCCCTGCCCCAGAGACACCCCCCTCCAACCGCGCCTCTGAGAAGCCAGACGATCTCCAGATTCTTCAGCAGAGCGACACGCAGGGGACAGGGCGAGCGCCCAGCCAGCCTCCACTCGGCCAGGGGATGCAGATATTTGCAAAGACAGAGGAAGACACGCAGGAATATGCAGCCGTTTCTTCTAAAAATGTACAGGATCCGAGGGCTGGAGAGACAGTGCAGAGGCGACGTGCACCTGGCGAGGCCGTGACCATGAATCCCAGCACTGCACGCGGCCCCGGTCACTGCCAGGCGTCAGCCCGAACACACGCGGCCTCCGGTTGATAATATTTGATTGGTTTATTGTCAATCGTACGTGAAGTGTTTTGAATCTGTAAGTTCTGGATGCTGCTGGCACGGCGGCCCACGGAAAGCAAAGCTCTGAGGACAAACGTGCAGTGCAGTCCCCAGCACGCGTGGGGCGGGCGGGGGCGCAGAGGCCTCCGGAGAGAGACACGAGACGTGCAGGAACCGGTACAGGCGCCGCAGGAAGCTGGCACCACGCCAGGCCCAGCAGCGTGAGGGGCCGCTCCAGGGGTCCGCTCTTTCGGCTTCGGGGTCACACCCGGCGGAGCTCGGGGGGGCAAGCCTGGAACGCGGCCTCACGGCTGTGCTCAGTGCTCAACCCTGCAGACCCTCCCCGTCGCACTGACGCTGCCCCTGGCCTCCCAGTTTTGACGAAGCAAACGCACTTCCAGAGAGCAAACTGCGCCGCTGAAGAGAGGCCACGCACGGGGCTCGTCCCCTGCTGGGTTTCTGGCCGTGCCCAGCAGTGCTCAGGGATCACTCCTGGTTTGGGCTCCAGGGCGCTATCACCTCTCAGGAAAGGAGCTGGAGGGGAAAGGGTCGGGATGATGATGATGATTATTTTTTTAAATTAGTGAAACACCATGAGGTAGTTGCAGACTTACAAACTTTCGTGCTTGGGTTTCAGTTATACAATGCTCGAGTACCCATCCCTCCACCGGTGCCCATTCTCTACCACCAATGATCCCAGTAGCCCTCCCACTTCCCAACCCCCCAACCCCACGCCAGGCCGTCTCTGTGGCAGGGCATTCCCTTTTGTTCTCTCTTTCCTTTAGGGTGTTGTGGTTTGCAATAGAGGTATTGAGTGGCCATCATGTTCGGTCTATAGTCTACTTTCAGCACGCATCTCGCATCCCGAGCGAGTCCTCCAAACACCCTTTACTTGGTGCTCCCTTCTCTACCTGAGCTGCCTTTTCCCCAGCATGTGCTGCCGGCTTCCAAGTCATGGAGCCGACCTCCTGGTACATATCTCAACTATTATTGGGTGTTCGTCTCCTGGCATAACTGGACAACCACATGCAAAAAAAAAAAAAAAATGGGTTTAGACCTCGACTTAACACCATGCACAAAAGTCAGATCAAAATGGATTAAAGACCTCAACATCAGGCCAGAATCCATAAGGTACATTGAAGACAAGGTTGGCAAAACCCTCCACGATATTGAGGCTAACGATATCTTCAAAGGTGACATGCCACTGACCAACCAAGTGGAAACAGATAAACAAACGGGACTATATTAAATTAAGACGCTTCTGCACCACAAAAGATACAGTGACCAAAATACAAAGACAATCTACAGAATGGGAAAGGATATTCACCCAATACCCATCCGAGAAGGGGTGGATATCAAGGATATTCAAAGTTGAACTGGTTGAACTCCACCGGTTGAAGAAAACATCCAACCCCATCAAAAAATGGGGTGATGAAATGAACAGAAACTTCCTCAAAGAAGAAATCCGAATGGCTAAAGGGCACATGAGAAAATGTTCTACATCACTAATCATCAGGGAGATGCAGATCGAAACAATGAGATACCATCTCACACCACAGAGACTGGCCCACATCCAAAAGAACAAAAGCAACCAGCGTTGGTGCAGATGTGGGGAGAAAGGGACCCTCCTTCACTGCTGGTGGGAATGCTGACTGGTTCAGCCCTTTTGGAAAACAGTATGGACGATTCTCAAAAAATTAGAAATTGAGCTCCCATTTGACTCAACAATACCACTCCTGGGAATATATCCCAGAGAGGCAAAAAAAAGTATAGTCAAAATGACATCTGCACTTGTATGTTCATTGCTGCACGGCTCACAATTGCCAAAATCTGGGAAAAAAAAAAAAAAACAGAGTGCCCGAGAACAGATAACTGGTTAAAGAAACTTTGGTACATCTACACAATGGAGTACTATGCAGCTGTTAGAAATGATGAAGTCATGAAATTTGCAAACAAGAAGTTCTACATGGAGAGTATCATGCTAAATGAAATGAGTCAGAAAGAGAGGGACAGACATAGAAAGACTGCACTCATCTGGGGAATATAAAAGGTCAGGATGCTTAACAAGCCCTGAGAAACTGTGGAACACACACCAGGAAAACACAAGACGAGAGCAGAAATGAGAAAACTGCAGAGAAACGGCAGATCTGAAAATCCTGGTGGGGAAATGAAGGACTCACGGGGGCCTCAGCAGAGAGGGACAGTCAGGGAGGGTGGCGGGAGGGACAGCTGGAGGACAGTGGTAGGGACAGTCGGGGAGGACAGCGGCAGGAGCAGGGAGGAGGTGCGAAAGCCTCAGGCAACAGCAGAGGGGGAAGCCTCAGGACAAACAAGTGACGGAAGAGCTTTGGGACGGACTCAAGAGAACAACTAAGAATCACTGGGGCTCCAGCTGTGCCCCTGACGGCCTGACCCCGGGGAGGGTCCCAGCGGCAGTGCCCAGGTGACAACAGTGTAGATGGCACTGGCTAAAAGTCTGCAGAAATGCTCCCCAAGCTGCAGTGTCATATCTCAAGATGATTTCTTTAATTCAGAGTCTGAGACAGAGAGAAAATTTGATTTCTGCAGTATCATGCGGTAGGGCGTTTGCCTTGCACTCAGCCAACAGGGCCATCCCGAGTTCGATTCCTCCGCCCCTCTCGGAGAGCCCGGCAAGCTACCGAGAGTATCTCGCCCGCACGGCAGAGCCTGGCAAGCTCCCCGTGACGTATTCGATATGCCAGACACAGTAACAACAAAGTCTCCAATGGAGACGTTACTGGGCCCGCTCGAGCAAATGGATGATCAACGGGAGGGCCTTTACATGCAAAATTATGTTTAATGTCTTATCAATTTTCATGATCAAGATGATCATTGAGAACTTACGAAAACTATCAGCAGAGAAAACCCCCCTCAAGGACCAAAAATGGATGAAGCCCCTGTGGGGTCATGTGCCAGCCATGATCCAGAGACTTGGATCAACAAGGGGCAGAATTTCTCTCGGGTCTCCCACGAGGCTGAGTCAACCAGGACAACTCGGGGGTTGGAGGGGTGAGCCCCAGCACCCACCCAAACAGAGCCCTGGCAGCAGAAATCGCCACCGTGCTCTCGGCTGGACCCCATTTCTGGGATAAGCCTCATCCTGAAATTAACTTGTTGGAAAACTTCACAATGTGGGTTTTGTGACTGAAATCTCCAGCTTTCACGGGGTTGGGGAGGGGGTACCTGCCCCCCATCTCCTGTACTTCCTGAAGTCCGGCAGTCGTGCACACCCCAGAGCCCCAGTCAGCTAAGTCAACTCCGGCTGTGTCACTGCGTAAAAGGTTCTGGGCACCCGGGAGAGCATGGCCACATTTCCGGCTCCGTGACAGCCCAAACTCTATGACACTGATAGACCCGGTGTGGCAGGCCAGAATGGGTGGGACGCAATGCAGAAG